TCATCTCTAAATGAAAATATCCCATTAATATTGTTAACACTTTCTAACATGATAGTTGGTACATTTTGTACAAATATCGATTAATGATTAGGATTCACATTTCACTAACAATCATCATCATACTGTATGAAATATCAATGCAAATATGTATGGTGTGATTTTAACATTTAAAGAAAATGTTGAACATAGCTTTCCCTCATTACAACTCTATCGTTTGGTCAGATTGGTGATTGAAATGTGACTAAAATGTTCGTAGATTATCAGTGATTGTTGGATATTGATCTGTACTTAATTTCTCGTAATCAAGAACATTGAGTGCAGGTCAAATAGCGACCATGTTCATTGACTTCATCTCCTGAAATCGTTAGGCCAGAGATACTTTTTCCGACTTATCGTACTGTTGTTCAAAATATCCAATTTAATTACACTAGTTCAACTCTCTTTTATTTATCCGTTTTACAATACACACTACTCAGTATATAAAGTAGCCAACATTGATATACTCAAAATTTGCACATTGATTGTGATGATATGTATTCAAGTTAACTACTTCATTTGTTGTGAGTAGAGTGTTGTGCATGAATCCACTTCACTCACAATATAGATGTTTGTTATTCCATTGCTTAGTTCAAGGTTGATTGATCATGATAACATGGTAAATCCATTTTGTTGATTTTTGTTGAATTACAAAGAAAGAAAACATAACAGTGACAAATAATTTTCTTATTTTGGACGATATCTTTTTGTGAGACTTTCCAATCGTATCACATAGATAATGTTTCATTTATCAGTCAGTCTACTACAGTGTAATCATCAACAACAGTCAAATGTTTTCAAGTGGTCGTTAATGTAGAAATGATATGATGTTGCTTCATGTGGTCAAGATTTTCAAACTATTACCCACATTGGATAATTCGTTTGAGCTTCAAGCTTCTCTAATTTCAGTGCTGTTACAATTTCCAATATCCAATATCTTTTTCACGAGCTAGTGTAAACCAATTTGATTTCTTCGCGCTCGATTCTTGTTCTTTCGGTACGGTTCCAGGTGTTCGATAATGTCCAATGGATGGAGGTCTATCCACTCGACTGTCTAATTCAAGTCATTTGGCAGTTGGTTTTGAGCTTGTATATCTGGGGATTTGAATGAATCCGTTTGTTTCAAGGAAGTAGGTTTTCTGGATACTAGCAGCCGTCACATTACCAGACCGGAGATCAGTTAGTTGTAATGTGGAGTGTAATAAGGATAATAAGGATATAATTCTTATGATAATATGAAGAAAATTTCAGAACTCAAAAATATATAAAAGAATTTAGTTTATTAATTTGTAGTGAGCATTGTGAGAGAGGACTGTAGTGTAAGCAAGGGAGATTAAACAATGATAATATGCAAGATAGATTAAGTAAGTGATCTGAGGAGAGGGCAATGAAAACAACTAGCAGGTATGAAGATATGAATCATGAACAGCTTGTACAAGAGGGAGATGATAGTCCGTATGTGAGTACGTGATTATCAAGTCTCTTCTTAAAGCACTCCTAGCTGTTGTCACCGCGGCTGGGAGAGCATTCCAAGTTGCGACGACTTGCAATGAGAAAAAGTGTGCACGAATCTGAGTATTCGCTCTTTGATGTGCAATCTTTCGAGGATTGCCTCGAGGGAAGTGGTGGTGATGCATCGGTAAGATGCTCACATTGGGATGGTTTGGCGTGTTTAATATGGTGTACGCCATAATCAGGTCACCTCTGATTCTCCTGTAGCTCAGTGGGAATAATCCCAAGAGCTGGAGTCTGTCGTCGTAGGGTTTATTTTTCAACCCTATCACTCATTTTGTTGCTCGTCTCTGCACTCGATCCAAGAGATGAATGTCTCTTTTAAGCAGAGGGGGTGCGATGACGTTGTGAACCTCCAAGTGTGGGCGCGCGTACGTCTTAAACAGGGTAAAAAATAATTTCAGGGTGATAGCACCAAGCTGTCTTCGCATAAAGTGAAGAGTCGCATTTGCCTTGGCTGCATCCCCTACAATTTTAATATGATCTAATTTACAATAGTAAAACAATTTCACATCATACATGAATTTGGTTAGCTGAGCCTTTAGCGAAATGTTGCAAGTTAACAGATATTATTCAATTTAAGTAGAACCAATAAATCACATGAAAAATATTTTCCGATCCAAGAAATCACTGAAGCTGATATCAAAGAATAACTGCACTGAATCCACTTTTGTGAAATGAACGCGATCGGTTCATTATTATGACCAATTGTGCCAGTGATTGTTTTACTGAACCTCTTTGTTTGTCACACTCTATACGCGCAAACTTTCTGTTTGTGTTGATGCAATTTTGCTTCCATTGTCTGTGTAATTTCACCCCTTAATTCTGGCAAGATTTCGCTATTTTCACGATACCAAGAAATTACCAACAAATACATTCTTCACAATGGAATAACCCTTCTTCTCTTTGACGAGTTCGTAATTCGTATTTAGTAGTGATCATAATTCACTGCAACCCACCACACTACATAACCCTAGAGCCTTCAGATGCCATTGATAGCTCACCAAATTTCTATTACTAAGTATGCATATAAGATTATCGGCTGTCAAAAATAGAAAGCTCCAGTATGTTGTACAGCCATAAACCGTTGGTTCTATGAATGGTTGTCTCGCTTTCAATTTGGTTAAAAGTTGATCGGGTATTTCATTTTATAGTGAATTTGTCGAACGTATATATTATTGATTACGCTGTTAAAACTAGCATGTGAAGTAAGATGATGTTACGTTAATTGAGGCTGTAATGTCAACGTGATAATCGAGATTGAATATCGTGCTTCAATGCTTCGGTTGACATACTGCCTGATTATGATGCTTACCTAAATATTGTACGGCCTAATAGCCATAATGATCTTTAAATCTTTGTGAGGTAATATTCTATAAGTAGATTCGTATTTTTATCATAAAAATTGTTTCAATGATCATCAGATATTATGGGGGTCGTATGGTTTTTTAATAAACTTTCAGGGTCGTGTTAAATACAGGTGTGGAATTTACAGAACATTCAATACTCATATGTGTGACCATAATTTATCGTAACATTGAAATGATTTCACCTACTGTATTAAAATTGAAATAAAATAGAGTAGTCACTAAATACCTACTGCTGTGCCAAATTTTTGTTATTAAACGTAATGATAGACTTGTATTGTCAAAGTGTCTAAGTGTTTATTTTATAATTTCAGGAATGAGACCACTTATTGCTGAATGGAAAACAGAACAAATGTACAAACCTACATATTTTACTATTATGTAAGTACACTCAATCAAACTAACTCAGTGAAACAACAGTGTTTTAAGTTCAACACTATTCAAGCATACTGAAATTAGATTTCATATTCTGACCTTTAAAATAGTATACCGGAATTTCGTTAAGACGCTCATTGAAAGTATGGATTCAAATGTACTAATTTGCCAATCTTAAACTATTAGGAGACACTCCGATTAAAGACTTCTACACGGAGATATCTGATTTCAGTTCACGTCCATCGATAAATGCTATCTCTAATAGTATCGAGAATGTGCAGTGACAAGTAATTGAAAAGTATAAAGTGAACAACTTTGATTCGACAGGTTAGGTTTTAATGTGTATATTGAGTCCAATGCTTATATCTTAAGACTTCAACGTATATCACGAGAACAGCTAATCAGTCATGTCGACAAAACTACTTCAGAAGATTTTTATTTAATTTAAATAAATAATTAGTCATTCAGTACCAACACGGGGGAAAGAGTAATATGAAACTGGCTTGCAGTCAATCAGTAACAAAGTTGAACCTGGTAGTTACTTATACCACTTCAAGTTGCCGTACCACACTAGCACAGAGATGCAATTGTCCATTCAAATACCATGGTGGCAGAGGTAGTATTAACGGAAGACTTTAATGGATATCAGGTTTTGAAGAGATGATCAGTGGATTTTAGTCCTTTTCTATCGATTTGAAAAGAGAAAGATAAATATCATGGTGAATTTAAAAGATTAGAATTTGAGAGATGATAGAATCACTGCAAGCGGTTTTGAGCCATTTCATTCGAAGCCTCTAATCATCGACAAATATCATCTCGACGACCCCAACCAGGTAGTCTACACACACCAACATGGATTTGTGCCATGTTTTGGTTCGGCCCCCCCCAGCCACATTCCGACCTACTCCTGTACCACAAAACATTGCTCTTCGAGGCAGTCGGCGTTTAGGCATTCGTAAAACATGTCCCAAACATTCCAACTAGTGAATTTTCAGTACTTCATCTATTGATCTGCCATCCCTACCTAGTACTGTGTACAACACTAGTTTAATATTAGGGTTTCCCAAAACTATCTACATGAATCCATATCAATTAAGCTGTTGTACGTTCATTTCAAGCTTGCAAATCGCAATCATTTGGCGTGAAGTTTGGTGTGGCTTTCGATTGTAGTAGGTACATACGCTTGGAACTGCTAGTATTTTGCGAGGAATAAAAGTCAGTCTTAATCGCTCTACTCAGCATATGACTGTAATAATTGACGTTTGCGTTTAGACAGTGAAAAATATACAAATAGGGAGATTTGGATATATCTCCCTATATTAAGTAACCGGGAAAAATCAAGTGTAAGACCGCACATCTGTACAACTACGAAATTTGTCAACAGACTTGACCATAAAGAGGAAAGTATATGAATAAAAAGACTTTGTATTACATAGGGGATTTTGTTAACAATCGTTCGAAATAGAAGTCACGAGTAAAATTGCTTGAAGCAACCTATCGAAAACTCAGTCGTATAATGTCAACTGCAAGTAATGAAAGATGACAACAGATACAGAGGAGACCAAACGTTTTAACGTACTACGGGCAAACGTAAGTGATATAAATCAAATCACAGGATATATGTTAGGAGAACGATTCTTGTTTTAATTTCCCACTTCTGTGACCAAACCAATTGGCGGCAATCGTAATTCCGTGCGTTCTGACCTTGAAGTTTGTTATCTGTCCAAAGTGTGTGGTATTTAAAGGCTTAAGCAGTTCCTTTTTCGGGCTGTCACAGCAATACAAAGTTAAGTTCTTCGTTCTGTATTGGTAAGTGAAACTATCTGCAATTTAATTCAGTTCAACGTATTATTGTTTGCTTATTTTGTATCCTACTACTACCTCAAACCCGTCATGCAGCAACCCAAAACTACTCGTTTCTAATTGCTCTGATACTGAGGTGAAATATTGTTTTCTTGATACCTTCGAAAAATAATAGTTATTTTTTAGTCTTTCTCCAAAGCTTACAGCGCTTTTACAAACACATTCGGTCGGTCCCAGTTATAATTCATTGGTATTTCAGTCACTCCTGTGCGTTTTGTTTCTTAATCCGCATGCGTGCCGCAGAAAAATTACTTTGTTAGAATTCAGGTCAAAACTCGTCATTTTAACTAGTATGACAATGAAGTCAGTACTAGACATTCCGTGGTTGTAACTATATGTATGAAAGTTACTGTTGATGAATTATCCTACTTCGTTGGGTCCCCGTGGTTTATTTGTTATAATTATCTACATAAAGCGACAATTTCATTATGCTTTACAGTTATTTGTGAATTTTTCAAATCCCTGTGCAGATGGTGGCATCAGTTTGTTACGCTGCAACTGCCGGTCATAGTTGATATCAACGTAATTACTACCTTAGGTTTGAGTTTAAAGGTATTTACTAAAAGCCATTGATGTTTTCTTAGCTATGGTTGGTTAGAGACTATGTGACATTACTCAGAATTGCTTCTAGTGTATCCTGTCATACATACATTTCCATCCTTTTTTCTCAAGCCATACTCACGACTGATTTTTGCTATATTTCGATTTTTTTGTTATTTAAATCCTGTGTTAATGTGATATGATGACTTGAGCTGACTCTCCTTAATTCCAGACTACTCCAAATACAACTGAATAAACTCTCTAGTGCTGTTAGGGGTGATAAGGTGGATGTTACTTACCGGTTACACACACTGTGGAAAGGTTTATCTTCTTGAGGAACCTGGAAAGGAATTCGGGTTAGCGTTGGTCTTAGCGGCCTGGAAGAGCGACCGCAAAGCTAAACAGACAATTTTTTCTAGCCGGCTGCGGACGGCCTTTTAGGGAGAGCTTTCAATGTGTAGGTTCGCTCTTGAAAATACCTCACTCCAGGAGATGGAAATCCGTGGAATGTTTAGATGTGGCTTGATATTTTGGGGTCAATCTTTTCTAACCTATTCCTTCCGTCATCAGAAGGCAGCATCACTACTGTCCCAGCCCTTATACAGTCATCAGCACGACTTCACCCTCAGACCTTAAGTTGCTGCTTTTAATCTTACCGCTCTCAAGTAGACCTATCTGGCATAGTAGGACCTAAATAAATATATGTTCCAGTCAATGTAGCTCGGCTAGTTCATCATGATAAGCAAGCTCAACCATTACGTTAAGGTTGCAGCTACGTTCAGGAACCCTGTTTGTTCGACGACTGTAATGAGAAGTCACATACAGTTTTGCGGATGAATTTATTTCATGCGTTCATTTAAGCAGACAGACACAAGAAGGAAAAGCTTACAACCAATACAAAGAGAGGTGATATGAAGAAGGTAAATGAGCCAACTTTTGTCTGTAGTAAATGTAGAGGTTTAGTAACACTGTGATGTACTAGTCTTTTTCTATTACACTCAAAGGTTTACATACATTTTGACTCATTCAACATTTTTTTGTTCCTTTTTTAGATTTTTTTCAAAACTATTCACAGCATTTTCTATTCTCTCTCTCTCTAAGCATAATCCTTAAACTGGATCATAGCAGTTGTTATTTGGTAAATATTTTTGGTTGTTAACAGTCATGAGTGACGATGATCAAATCCTACGACAGAGAACAGTGAGTTACATCTAATTTAGTAGATTTTGCTGATGCCATTGTCAACTTTTAAAATCATTCTACTCTACTCTACCGACTCCATTAGATCTCATTATTGTTAGTGAAATATTACGGACTATTGAAACCAATACCCGTTACTATTGATGTGGCACAGAAATTTCACCTTCTAAGTGACTTAAAACTAAGTACCTGCTTAGGTCTAATATTTAATGACACATATTGTGGTGCGAGCTACTTATAAGTAGTACATGACGTGAGTGTCAATGTAATGTCTGGCAGCAGAAGATGGGGGAAGATCAAGAAAGTAAGAAGAGCGGGAACACAATGGAATTTGTATGAAACGTATGAATAGTGACAATGGATTGATGTTTTGCAACAGGAACAGTCCAGTTCGATATGCTGGACTGATATTTTGCAAATGAACGATTTACGATATGGTTTTCCAATTTTACTGAGTAACTCTGTAATTTTCGTTGAATACAATCCGGTTGCCCTCACCTGTGTTCTCGTTCACTACAATATGAGCTTTGGGAACTAATATGACTTCTGTAATACTAAGGAGTTTAGTGTACACATTTGTTGAATATGGGTCCAGGACAGAGTAGTAAGTTGTAGAATGCTAGTCGGGGGTCTATACTGCGCTGGAGGTAACAGACCTAGGTAAGTAAGTAAGTTAGTAGCTTTTGAAATAAATCAAAATAAGACACTAATCCTAATTTATAGAAATATAACTGTACAATAACAAATGCCCAACCACCGACTTCCTCGTCGAACTATGTTTTGTGGTACAGGAGTAGGCTGGAAGAAAGCTGGGGGGGGGATGGCCAAACCAAAACATGGTACAAATCTATGAAGTCACTGACAAGTAGTCTACTGGATCGACTTCCTGGGTGGGGTCTGCGAGACAACAGTAACGTTATGGTTAAAGACTTTGAATGACATAACTCACAATTGTTTGCAATGGTACAGTTGCATCCAATCTTTGTGTTCTTGCAAATCCTAATCTTCTGAATTCTTCATCACCTCTATCTTTCTTTTTTTAAGTTTATTTCACCAGACTATTCTTCTCAAAAATTTTCTTCAAATTCTAGTCTTTTCCAGTACCGTTAATATAGCTTCAACCTCTACCTCCATTATGGGATTAGATTCGACGATTGCATCTCTGTATGTTAATATTGTATGGCAACTTGAACTGATGTATGTACGTATGTAAGAAGTTCTATGTTGTAACTGACTGACTGTACATAAAGTCGCATCACTTAATCTTTAACGAGTGTAGACCATAATACATGTCAAAGATTAATTCAGTTATAATCATTACCTTTTGTCGCATCGGAAACTTGGAGTAATTTTACTGCTTCAAATTACCCCTTAAACAATTACACAATCGTTTCTGATAGTTGAAAACATGTTTTCTTCTCTTTAACTTACCCAATATTCTATAATTCCATAGCTTTGGTAAATAGCATTGTCGAACTAAAAAAATTTATCGGCTAAACAATCTTAATTTACTTCAGTTCTATTCAATACTCACCATTAGCATATTCAGTGAATATTTAAACTGCTACTATTAGTCAATTCTCAACCATATTTCTTATTTGTCATTTATATTAGTCATGCGAATTAATCTGCCGTAATGCGAATATCATCTAATCATGTAAAATAACAAGCGTAATTTATTCAGTAAGAGTTGACGCGTAGTAATTTCAGGTCCCTCATGAAACAACCTTCCACGGTGTGGGCAGCCGGGAAGTGATAACCGCCCTCATACCCGTAACAGCACACCAGACAAAATTGGTCAAAATCAAATCCTTCCTACACCCCCTAATACCTCTCTTATCTCCACGACTAAATATGCCGATGACAGTTCTATTCGGTGAAGTCGCTGACAAAATGCAGAGTCTTCTGACTACCATAAGCAACAATGCAAGCGTGTTCGGGATGCGGTTCTCACCCTCGAAATGCAAAATGTTGCTTCAAGACTGGGTTGCATCGGCACCTGAACTAGTGATAGGGAGTGAAGTAGTAGAGAGTGTAAACCGCTCCACTTATCTGGGGAGTCTCATCAGTGCCGATGGACTGGTGACTGACGAAATTTAAGCACGGATAGAGAAGTCTCGATTAGCTTTTGCCAACCTGCGTCACTTATGGCGTAGGCGTGATATCCGTTCGCTAACCAAAGGACGAGTGTACTGCGCAGCAGTTCGGTCCGTCCTCCTATACGGCTGTGGAAGATGTTCGTAGGTTACTAGTAGTCGATGATAGATGTTTAAGAAGCATTGCTCGTATATCGTGGGACACCCGAGTGAGCAACGCTGTTATTAGGAAACTGGTGCTTGGTAAGGATGGCAGATCATTAGATGAAGTGGTGAAACTTCATCAGTTGAGGCGGTTGGGAGATGTGTTACGTATGCCTAACCACCGGCTGCCTCGACGAGCTATGTTTTGTGGTGTAGAAGTAGGTTGGAAGAAGGCTAGGGGCGGCCAGACCAAAACATGGCAGAAATTCATGAAGTCACTGACCAGTGGACTGAGTCATGTTGGTAGATGTAGACTACCTGGTTGGGGTCCGGGAGACGAAAGTCACCAATGGTTAGAGACCCTGAATGACATGGCTCAAAATCGTTTGCAATGGCGCAAGTGCATCCATTCTTTGAGCTCCCTCAAATCCTGATCTTCTGGATTCGTCAGCACATCTACCTTTGTCTTTGTAACCTTATCTCACTGAATTATACTTCTTGAATAATATCTTCAAACTCTAGTCTTCTTCATTACCATTAATACCTCTACTATCTTTATCACTATGGGATTTGATTTGACATTTGCATCTCTGTACGCTAATGTGGTATGGCAACCTGAACTTATGTACATACTTTCGAAGTTCTACATTGCAACTGACTGACTGACTGACTGATGTCGTTTAAGGTCTCTAACCATTGGTGACTTTCGTCTCGCAGACCCTAACCAGGTAGCCTACATCCTTGTTATTATCGCCCTATTTGTTTGGGTGCATGACTAGAGAAATAATGATTTCAAAGCTGTATATGATTGAATTATTTTCTATCGTGTTTCTGTTTTACCTGTCAATATCAGGGGGATGTTATAGAAGAAATAACTACTACTACTACTACTTCGGCTACTACTACTACTACCACTACTACTACTCCTCCTCCTCCTCCTACTCCTACTTCTACTTCTATCAATACCACTACACAAGATAATGATGATGACGATGATGATGATGACGATGATGAAGAAGAACCAATTGATCCAATTCAACCAGATTTTGAAGCAGCTGCGGAAAAATTACATCAAGGTACAAGTTATGTACCACCAATGATTGATTTTTTAAATCAATTTCTCCCGCCACGTTGGGTTAATTGGACTGTACGATTATTTACTGGTCTATTATTAATATCAGGATTTACATTAATAATTTATTTCGGTCCATTAGCATTGGTGCTTATGGTAAGTGTTGATGATGATTATGTTTTGATTATCATTCAAAAATTTGAAATCAATCAATCAATCAATCAATCAATCATTGTTAGACTACCACCAACATTATTAGAAATATGGTAGCACTGAAAGATGGCCGTTTCGTCCTAGTGTATGGGACTATTACTACTCATCAGCAGTGGCAGTGCGCACCCAAGACTCCTGCACGTCGCACAGGATTCGAACCCGGGACCTTCGGTATTGTGCGCGAACGCCTAACACCTCTGGTCCACTGGGCTGGTTTGATTCAACGATGTTAATGTCTAACTCTGATTGATCTAGAGATTTCGCGTGACCTCACCCATTTTTCTTTGGTAGTAGTTACTGCCTATAGCTGACAGGATTGAACTTCACTGGTCACACGTCTTCTCAGCTAGAACTCGGAGAATTTCTTCACGATGCTAGTCACCACTTGTGAGCACATTTTACGATATTTTCAATTAGAATTATGGAGATTAGTGTTTTTTTTACACGTTTGAAATCATCAATCAATCAATCATTGTTAGACTGTCACCATTAGAAACCTGGTAGCATTGGACGGTCGTTTCGTCCTAGTGTATGGGACTCATCAGTGGCAGTGCGCACCCACAACTCCTGCACGTTGCACAGAATTCGAACCCATGATCTTCGGTATTGTGCGCGAACGCCCAACCTCTGAACCACTGAGCTGGCCGGCATTCAACGGTGTTAATACAGATGAGTAGTCCCATACACTCTGACGAAACGGCCGTCCAATGAGACCAGGTTTCTAATGGTGGCAGTCTAACAATGATTGATTGATTAATGATTTCAAATGTGTAAAGACGCTAATCTCCATAATTCTAATTGAAAATATCATTCAATATAAAGCTCACGCTTTGTTATCGTAGAAAAAATATAAGGTAGGGGCAAATAAACCAAGATGTAATGCCAGCCGGTGAATCTTATTGATCAACTGATTGACACACAATTTTATATAAATTAATTCTCTATTGTCAAGGGAAGTTTACATTAGAAGAACTAAGGAGACTGCTCACGTGTTAGCATTTCAACGTGAACAGTTCAGTTCAATCGCGTGGTGCAATCACACAGTGGTACCTGACACTCTGGTGGACCATTCACAGCATTTAAATCAATCAATCAATCAACAGCAACGTAGAACTTCGTACGTACGTGCGTGCGCACATCAGTTCATATTTCCATACCACAAATCTCATAGTAGTAGAGGTAGTGAAAGTATCAGCAGTAATCGGAGAGATAAGGGATCGAAGATATTATTCAAGAAGTAGAATCTAGTGAAATAAACTTAAAAAGAAAAAGGCAAAGTTGGTGAGGAATTGAAAAGTTTAGGATTTGAGAGAACACAAAGAATGAATGATCCCCGCCCGCAGACCCTTCGGGGCTACTGCCGGTTCCAAGGGGGAGGGTTGAGATGTAGGTTGGTGGCCTCATCCCGAAAAAGAACTAACTTACCAAAAAGCGCTAACAAGAGTTCACAGCATTAATATACACGAGTACATATATATATATATATATATAGTGATTATTTCCGATATATGATTGCGTCAATCAATATGTACCACATGAACAGACCAATTTGACCCATTTCGCTTACATGACTGTCACAAACTCATTATTATTGATTAGCAATGATGATGTGCCGCAATACAGCAACCCAATGACAATGGCCCTCAGGAATGTTGCAAGATGACCGCAAGTAATATATGCAATCGATCACTCTGCAAACTAAATTTGTATATGGCTTATTAGCAAAACTTGTCAAAGCAATGGCAAACCATCCATTATGTTTACGGCGAAAATCTGGTCTCATAAGAAACCTTCAGCTCTCTATATAGCAGCAGTATAGCATATAGTATACACATAGTATGGCATAGGATAGTAAGAGATGCAACCCAACTTGATGCGAATGGGAGCTCAAACACTCTTTTCGTGAACTCGCATCGTTTGCATTAGCGGTGCAGTGATATAAAGGAATGTGAGTAGAGTTAGTCGTAGAGATAAGAGAGATATTAGGGTGTGTAGAAAGGATTTGATTTTGACCAATTTGGTCTCGCGTGCTGTAACTGGTATGAGGGTGGTTGTCACTTCCCGGCTGCCCACACTGTGGAAGGTTGTTTCTTGAGGGGCCTGAAAAAGAAGGCAGATTAGTGATGGTCTTGGAGACCTGAGAGCGTGACCGCAGAGCCCAAACGGACAACTGCTTGAGGCCGGTCACGCACAGTCTTTTTATGAAAGGATTTTTGACTATTAGCTCCGCTCTTTTTAAAGCCCTTAGTGGGCACCCTTACCGACGGAGACGGAAATCCGTGAGTTAGGGTGATGTGTTACATTTTTAGGGTCGGTATTTTCTAACCCTTCCTTCCTTGTGAGAAGGCAGCGTCGCTGCAGATGTTGCTTGTCTGAGGGAAACACCTTACTGCTGTCATACCACTTTGCAGTCAGTCAGCAGTACGACCTCGCCCTCAGACCTTGAGTAGCTGGTTTTAGTCTCATCGTTCTTCAATTGACTTGCCTCGTATGGTAGGACCAGCAGAAACATATGTTCCAGCCAATATAGCTCGGTTGGATCATCACGATAGTCAAGCCCGACAAGCACCACGTCAAGGTAGCAGCTTCGCATGGGCAACTTGAATTGATGTACTTACATACGAAGTCCTGCGTTGTATCTGTCTGTCTGTCTGTCAAACACTCTTATATTACACTTTGTCTCATGTCGGATAATGTGATTTTTTTGGCAATACAGAAATTGTCATTTTTTCCGACCATATGAGACCTGAATAAGTAGGGGTGATAGTATTCCTTCAACTAATTGAACTATGTGAATATAAGTTAGGATCTGACAGACAGAAACCACGCAGAACTTCGTACGTAAGTACATCAGTTCAGGTTGCCATGCCCCATCAGCACACAGACGCAGCTGTCAGTTCAAATCCAAGAGTGATAGCGATAGTAGAAGTATTAGCAGTAATGGAGAAGATTAGGGAGCGAAGATATGATTCGAGAAGTATAATTCAGTGAGATAAATTTAGAAAGAGAAAGGTATAGATTATGAGGAATTCAGAAGGTTAGGATCTACATAATTATTGTAACCCATTGTTTGAAAATTTTAATGACAACATGACTTAGAAACACTTCCAAAATCTCCATGTGTGTTTGTGTGTTTTTACTAATTGATATACCTAATCTTTTCTACTGTTGCTAATACTTTTACTATCCCTAACTATTCTGGAATTCATCGCTGTGCTACAATGATATGGTAACCGATGAGCATATGTGTCAGGTTCTATGTTGCGTATAAATAACTGATTGATGACTGTGTCATTCTATATTTTTTATGTTTATCGATTTTTGGGATGTATTTTTTTTCCTACTTGTGATATTACGAGTTCACCTTAGTCGGTAAACTAAATGAAGGGCAAAGTCAGTCAGTCAGTCAGTTGCAACGTAGAACTTCTTACGTATGTACATCAGTGTTCATGTTGCCATACCACATTAACACAGAGACGCAAATGTCAAATCAAATCCCATAGTGATAAAGATAGTAGAGGTATTAATGGTAATGAAGAAGACTAGGGTGGTTTGAAGATATTATTCAAGAAGTATAATTCGGAGAGATAAGGTTAGAAAGACAAAGGTAGAGGTGTTGACGAATCCAGAAGATTATGATTTGAGAGAGCTCGAACAATGGATGCACTTGCGCCATCGCAAACGATTTTGAGCCATGTCATTCAAAGTCTCTAACCATTGGTGACTTTCGTCTCGCGGACCCCAACCAGGTAGTCTACATCTACCAACATGACTCAGTCCACTGGTCAGTGACTTCATGGATTTATGCCATGTTTTGGTCTGGCCGCCCCTAACTTTCTTCCAACCTACTCCTACACTACAAAACATAGCTCATCGAGGCAGTCGGTGGTTAGGCATACGCAACACATGTCCCAACCAAGGGCAAAGACTCAGTGATACAACAGGCTATTTTAATCGGTTTGTCCCAACCCCGGCTAACTAGATCAAGAAGTCTTGATAAGGCATAGAGAGAATGTATTCTACAGGCACCCAGAAAATACGAGGTTGTTAAGCATAAAGATCGAGCTTATTTATATAATGATAGAAACGTCCTTGGGAGAGTCACAAGAAACAGCGTACTAAAATAATCCATCAACCAATGAAGACAGTCAAGGATTTTCCCAGTGGGAAATGTAAGCTGTAGGTCAAAATAAGCGTCTCTTGGCGTGAAAACATAAAACATATCCAAAATTAGTACCCTTTCCAAGTGAGTTCTGGGGATCTCACATCCCCAACAACAACTTGTTGGCTTCAAGTCATATTGATTATGTAAGAATTAGTAATACTTATTAATCGATTGCAGCAAAGTTTGAATTACCAACTTATGAGTTGATGATTGTGAAGTGTTTCAATTGTTCACTTATGAATTATTACATAAAGAATTGACTAATTCCAATATAGTTCTTGCACACTTAAAAATCATCTTTCTAACATCAACTTCGTTTGCGTAAATCTTTCACTCTTGACTATTGAACAAAGAGGAATGAGACAACAAGTGAAGAATAAGCTTCTTTCCTGAAAAGTATATGGTCGAATTGTTGTTAATCTTCAAATTGTAGAATGTTTTTTCGAAAACATGTTCACATCACTTATCGATTTTTTGTAGTTAGTTAATTGCTTAATCAAGGTAAACGGAATATAATCAGTCGTTTTGCAGAGTTTATCTTAGAGTCTTCTAGAGGTAGGTAATCAATGGGAGTATTTCCAGGAATTTTCTTGACTTCTGAATACTTTTTAGAGGAAATCAGTTTTCAGGTAATATTTCCAGTGAAGGTGGTACCACTGAAAGTATTACTTACTACAAGACTTGAAAGTCTTGAGTCTATTCCTTGTCAGAGTTGTGGATATTTTTACAGTGTAGAGTAATTGTGTTACATGTCAATTAAACAACTATCCAATAGAGT